TTTTTTTTTGTTTTTTAATGACATGTAGATTGTGGACAAAGCCCTAGAAGAGCCAAAGTATAGCTCACTGTATGCTCAGCTATGTCTGCGATTGGCAGAAGATGCACCAAACTTTGATGGCCCAGCAGCAGAGGGTCAGCCAGGACAGAAGCAAAGCACAGTGAGTGGCCGTTTCTATTTGCTTTGTTTTAAAATTAGTTTGGAAGTTGTGTGGGGTTTTTTTGTTTTTGTGTTGTTTTTTTTGGTCCAAGCCTGTAATGCGTTTTGTTTTCAAATAGACATTCAGACGCCTCTTGATTTCCAAATTGCAAGATGAATTTGAAAACCGAACTAGAAATGTTGATGGTAAGAATTTAAATTTACTGTTATCTTGTACTGGGTGTTTTTGTTATATTTGTGTGTGTAGTGTGCATGCACATGCTTGCGTTCCCAGGCCTTACATTTGAAAGAGTGGTGCTAAGTGTTCCTTTATTCTGTTTGCCTTCCCTCCCTTAGTCTATGATAAGCGTGAAAATCCCCTCCTCCCTGAGGAGGAGGAACAGAGAGCCATTGCTAAGATCAAGATGTTGGGAAACATCAAATTCATTGGAGAGCTTGGCAAGCTTGATCTTATTCATGAATCTATCCTTCATAAGTGCATCAAAACAGTAAGTATGACTGGGGGTGGAGCTTTAGGGGTAAGGTGAGAACATCTACATTTTGGGGAAAATTAGTTGCTTCATATCATCTGAGAAGATGATTAGCTAATCTATGGAGGAAATACTACATAAATCAGAATAACTGAGATTATAACATTGTTTTGGTAGCTTTTGGAAAAGAAGAAGAGAGTCCAACTCAAAGATATGGGAGAGGATTTGGAGTGCCTCTGTCAGATAATGAGGACAGTGGGACCTCGATTAGACCATGAACGAGCCAAGGTATGTTTTTGTTGAGAATAGTGTAAAGGTAGTGTGCGTAACGATCTAAAACTCCGCAACTAGCACACATTTACTTCTAATTGTGTATTTTTGTCTTTTTGCCAGTCCTTAATGGATCAGTACTTTGCCAGAATGTGTTCCTTAATGCTAAGTAAGGAATTGCCAGCAAGGATTCGTTTCCTACTGCAGGTAAGGTGGTTTTAACAGTGTCTAAAGTTTTGAGTTTTTAATTTGGAATAGTAAAATAAAATTTATACCCTTTAAAATTACAGGATACCGTAGAGTTGCGAGAACACCATTGGGTTCCTCGCAAGGCTTTTCTTGACAATGGACCAAAGACGATCAATCAAATCCGTCAAGATGCAGTAAAAGTAAAGAGATTTTTTTTATTTCTTGTTTTATAGTTGTCTGGTCCCTTTATCTCTTCACCCCACTTTGGAGAGAAGTTATTGAATTGGAAAGTGAATAATGTAAATTAACATGGAGTCTAAAGACAACAGTACTTACTTACTTTGTTTTCAAAGGATCTAGGAGTGTTTATTCCTGCTCCTATGGCTCAAGGGAGAAATGACTTCTTCCTGGAGGGACCGTTCATGCCTCCAAGGATGAAAATGGATAGGGACCCACTCGGGGGACTGGCAGATATGTTTGGACAAATGCCAGGTAATTTTAAACAAAGTGGTGTTTTTGGTTAAACTAAGTTAACGTTTTTAGTGGATTTCTAAGAATTGTCTGTATTTTAAGGTAGTGGAATTGGTACTGGTCCAGGAGTTATCCAGGATAGATTTTCACCCACAATGGGACGTCATCGTTCAAATCAGCTCTTCAATGGCCATGGGGGACACATCATGCCTCCCACGCAATCGCAGTTTGGAGAAATGGGGGGCAAGTTTATGAAGAGCCAGGTAAGACATTGACATTGTTAGGGCTAGTCTTAAGAATGATACATTTTGCCCTCCATTATTTGTTATGAAGCTGAGTTTTAATTCTTTTGTGTTTTTTTTTTTTTTTTGTGTGTGTGTGTGTGTGTGTTTTTATTTTACCAAATTTCTGACAGTTGTTTCAAATTAAGTAAGATGCTTGTCCTTAAGATTAAGATTAGTAGAGTCTCATCACTTTACATTTGATAGATAGGTTAGATACTCTTCCCCGTTTCATCTTTTCTGGGCAAAATAATGGCTTGGCTCTTCCCCTCGGTACTTGATTACCATAATTTTTATCTAGACTTTCTCTCTCCCTTTCTGAAATAGGGGCTAAGCCAGCTCTACCATAACCAGAGTCAGGGACTCTTATCCCAGCTGCAAGGACAGTCGAAGGATATGCCACCTCGGTTTTCTAAGAAAGGACAGCTTAATGCAGATGAGGTACATTTGCCTACATTACTTCTATGTAGTAATTTGTCAGTGCAGAAGTCTCTTGCCCGATGATTATAAAAAGACGCGAAAGAGGACTTGGAAGCTGGACTTCTTTTTCTTTTTTTCTCTTTTCTACTCTTTAACTTCTCTTTTCTCTACCTTTTTATCTGTTTCTTTTTCTCTCTTTGGATGTCCAGTGTCCTATGAGCGAAGATTATGAGATATGAGGGCAAGTTTCTAAGTAATTTTTACTAGTTACCATAAGGAAATGATTAAGATGTTGGTGGTTTCCCTATAAATAGAATGATACTGGGAGAATTGATACAAACTTAAGGTTTGTGAACAGTATCTTACTCTTTTCTTTTTAAGAGAATTCTAGTTCTGCCATAATTAACTTTGTGTAGTATTAATTTTGGGATATTTAAAATGTTGTTAATGTTCAATAGCTCTGTTAACTTAGTTGTGTGTTGATTTGTTTTCAAATTTTTTTAGATTAGTTTGAGGCCTGCTCAGTCGTTCCTAATGAATAAAAATCAGGTGCCAAAGCTTCAGCCCCAGATAACTATGATTCCTCCCAGTGCACAGCCACCACGCACTCAAACACCACCTCTGGGACAGGTATGGGCCACAAAATATGGCATGCTTTTTAGTGCCACTGAAGATGTGTGAAGATTCAAGTGTTTCCTTCTTCCCTCTGCATCATTGTGGTACTGTTATTTTTTTGTTTGTTTCATTTTGATTAAATGTGTGTTGTTTCTTAATCCTTAGACACCTCAACTTGGTCTCAAAACTAATCCACCACTTATCCAGGAAAAGCCTGCCAAGACTAGCAAAAAGCCACCACCATCAAAGGAAGAACTTCTTAAACTGACTGTAAGTTTCAGACAGCCCCACAAATCATCTCTGTTGCTTGGAAAGCATTTGAGGATAAGGGGATACTGATGGGAATTGGATTGTATTCTTAGGAAGCCATTGTGACTGAGTATCTGAACAGTGGAAATGCAAACGAGGCTGTCAATGGTGTAAGAGAAATGAGAGCTCCAAAACACTTTCTTCCTGAGATGTTAAGCAAAGTGATCATCCTGTCACTTGATAGAAGTGATGACGATAAAGAAAAAGCAAGCTCTTTGATCAGTTTACTCAAGCAGGAAGGAATAGCCACAAGTGACAACTTCATGCAGGTACAGCATTCTGCCGATAGTGTGTTAACTTTGTAGTTAAGGTTGCAAGCTAATAAGAACTGTTTGGGTCTTCTTCCCAAGGCTTTCCTAAACGTATTGGAGCAGTGCCCCAAACTGGAGGTTGACATCCCCTTGGTGAAATCTTACTTGGCACAGTTTGCAGCCCGTGCTATAATTTCAGAGTTGGTGAGCATTTCAGAACTAGCTCAACCACTGGAGAGTGGCACCCACTTCCCTCTCTTCTTACTTTGTCTTCAACAATTAGCTAAATTACAAGATCGAGAATGGTTAACCGAACTTTTTCAACAAAGTAAGGTCAATATGCAGAAAATGCTGCCAGGTAAGAGTTTGACTTAACTTAATACTAACTGGATATTTGGGTTCATTAATGGGTCTGGGGGTACTAGGAAATCATTTATAAAGGTCTGTCCAGATAGGCCAACCTGATAAAATGAGAAATGGCTTTGTCTTTGCAGAAATTGATCAGAATAAGGATCGAATGTTGGAGATTCTGGAAGGAAAGGGACTGAGTTTCTTATTCCCACTCCTTAAATTGGAGAAGGAACTATTGAAACAAATTAAGCTGGATCCATCCCCTCAAACTATATATAAATGGATTAAAGATAACATCTCTCCCAAACTTCATGTAGATAAAGGATTTGTGAACATCTTAATGACCAGGTAAGATAATAGTTTCATTTGCTAGAAAGAAGTCTAGAGCAGAGGCTTAGACACCTGTTGGGACTCTAATGAGACCTTCTTTTCAGCTTCTTACAGTACATTTCTAGTGAAGTAAGCCCACCCAGCGATGAAACAGATTCTTCCTCTGCTCCTTCCAAAGAACAGTTAGAGCAGGAAAAACAGCTGCTGCTCTCTTTCAAGCCAGTGATGCAGAAATTTCTTCATGATCATGTGGATCTACAGGTCAGTGCCCTGTATGCTCTGCAGGTGCACTGTTACAACAGCAGCTTCCCAAAAGGTAAGGTGACTGGTGTCAAGAGTAGGGGAAGGAACAGTCTGAAATAACACATTGAATAATGAAATTACTTGCTTTTTATCTTTTTAAGGCATGTTACTTCGATTTTTTGTTCATTTCTATGATATGGAAATTATTGAAGAGGAAGCTTTCTTGGCTTGGAAGGAAGACATAACTCAAGAGTTTCCAGGAAAAGGCAAGGCTTTGTTCCAGGTAAGTGCTTTTATAACTTTACTGTTGGTTTTTGTTGTTTTTCTTAGGTACCATTTTAAATGCCTTTCCTTCTAACGTCAGTGCTTCCAAAAGTAGTAAGCCAGTTTTACTCTATTACAAGCTGTAGTTACAGTCTTGGGTAATAGAACTTGACTTATCAAGTACTCCATAATCCTTAGTATATATAAACTGAATTTAAAAGGATCCTAGCTTGGTGCTAACGGTTCTAATTTATTTAGTCCAGTTCAGATATGAGTTCTTTGCTGATTTTTCTATGCCCTGACTTTGAGAAAGCCCTGGTTCACAGCTTCTAAGGTTTATAGGCTAGTTTGTGAAAATTTGTGCTTTTGAGAATCTGATAAAGTAATTACAGAATGCAATTTGGCATTTTCCCTGTCTATATGCTGATAAAATCTACATTGGAAGAGTTGCTGTCTTTACTAGTAGACTTCAGTGTTCCTGAAATGTCATTGTAGAATTGTCAAGCTGAGTATAAGACTAGTTAATTGAAGCTAGGTGTGTGTTCTTGGAAGCCCAGCACTTTGGGCTAGAGGGGCAGGGACTAGGTTCAGAGTTGTCCTCAGCTACATGACGAATTCTGGACTATATGAGTGAGATTCTGTTGTTTAGTAGGCAACTGGGGAGGCAGCTCAGTAATTTAAAGTACCTGTAGCTCTCTGGTTCCCAAAGGTCCAGTGCCCCCTACTGGCTATCGTGGGCACTGCACATTCATGGTGCACAGGCATACCAGCAAAAAAATGGTCTTTTTTTTTTTTTTTTTTTTTTTTAAGTGGGGGGGACAGCTATGGAAATGGCTCAGTAGGTGAAGCATGAGGGCCAAGATTCAGATCCCAGAATCTAGTTTGGGTTAATTTCTGGTTGTATATCCTGAACTAAATTTTTGTATACTATTAAATTATAAATGTAATTTACAGGTGAATCAGTGGCTAACCTGGCTAGAAACTGCTGAAGAAGAAGAATCAGAGGAAGAAGCTGACTAAAGAACCAGCCAAAGCCTTAAATTGTGCAAAACATACTGTTGCTATGATGTAACTGCATTTGACCTAACCACTGCGAAAATTCATTCCGCTGTAACGTTTTTCACAATATTTAAAGCAGAAGCACGTCAGTAAGGTTTCCTTCTGCATAAGGTTTTTGTAGTGTGATGTCTTAATCATAGTCTACCATCAAATACTTTAGGAGTATCCTTAATGTTTAGATAGAATATTAGCAGCATGCAATAATTACATCCTAAGTTCTCAAGCAGAGGCAGTCTATTGCAAGGACCTTCTTTGCTGCCAGTTACCATAGGCTGTTTTAAGTTAGAAAACTGAATAGCAACACTGAATACTGTAGAGATGCACTTTGCTCAGTAATACTTGAGTTGTTGCAATATTTGATTATCCATTTGGTTGTTACAGAAAAATTCTTAACTGTAATTGATGGTTGTTGCCGTAATAGTATATTGCCTGTATTTCTACCTCTAGTAATGGGCTTTATGTGCTAGATTTTAATATCCTTGAGCCTGGGCAAGTGCACAAGTCTTTTTAAAAGAAACATGGTTTACTTGCACAAAACTGATCAGTTTTGAGAGATCATTAATGCCCTTGAAGTGGTTTTTGTGGGTGTGAAACAAATGGTGAGAATTTGAATTGGTCCCTCTTATTATAGTATTGAAATTAAGTCTACTTAATTTATCAAGTCATGTTCATGCCCTGATTTTATATACTTGTATCTATCAATAAACATTGTGATACTTGATGTGGTTGTACATGACTTCAAGTAATGCCTGCAAAGTTCTGGAGAGTTGCTCATTTAGTGTTCAGGTGTGGGTTTGTCTTGGTTTAACTCCCAATGCTCTGTTCAGATTGACTTCTCTCCCTATCAGTCTCATTCTAATACAAATTGTCAACTTAGTCTGGAGCTGCCTTTACTCTAAAAGACCTTGTGTCATTCTGGCTCTTTCTATTTTCTAAGCACTTTAGAAACAAGCTTAGCCCTTAATCTCCATTCTTCACAACAAAACGGCTATAGCAAGAAACTGAAAAAACAGCTGCTACACATGTGATTTAGAACTCAAGCATAATTGATTTCCTCTTATTTTCATCTTGTCTAGCCCATGCATATTGAGTTCCTCTACCTGGAATCGTGCTCCCCTTACCTCTTAACCTTGAGGTGTTGGTATATCACTCAAAAGAACTTGATTTCCTCTGCTGGGACAGTGAAGAGTTTGTATCAGTCAAGGTCCTCTGCTGTAAAAAGCATACTTTGGCAAGGACAGTGGACCACAGAAATGGCCTGACTGGGTCAACCTACTATGTCCTCTGCCAAATAGCTGTTCTCTGGTATCAGCAACTCCAAAAGCTTAACCATGGATGGAGTAGGGACAGATACACCCTTGCTGCCTCCCAGCAGAACCCTAGTCCACTTTGGGGACTCCTACCACCAAGGCTTGAGTAGAAACTGAGAAAAAGGTGAAATGGAGAGCAGAGGATAATGGAGTTGAGGCCCAGCCCCCATCTTTGCCTATCCTGTAGGGCTCCAAGGAGAGAGTGCAGGTGTGTCTCAGTCACTGCTGAGTGGGGTGATGGATTCAAGTTTTGTGAGTTTCAATCTTTTGCAGAGAATTGCAGGCAATTTTGAATTAGGGCAATTCAAAGTCAGGTTTAGTATCCAAAATGTCCTGGATAAAAGATTGTCTTTGACTGATGTAGCTTGATTGACGTTATGGTAGCAGGGCTAACACTAGATCTATGTATTGCCCCATCCAGTAGAAAAACTAGTAATGAATAAATGCTTGGATAGTGACCTGGGTTTTTCTCATTTGTTGTGCCACTTGATCCTAGTGTTTCACAGTGCAGTGATCAAATGTGTAAAAACTTTGCCCTTGAAAAAAGGCACTGCTCATGCTGTGATGGGCAGAGTCCTTTTACATATCCCAAAGTGAGTCTTGTCCAACTCTTTGGGGCAGATGTTGAAGATAGTGGTAGCTCATTGTTGCTATAGTAAGCCAGGAGACTTACAAAGCTCTTGCCCACCTTGTCTCAGTGTCAGACAACTTGGCAAGAGTCCTGGTCCATGGAGACGGTGGAGCAGAAGAGCAGAAACTGAACTTGGAGTCACGTGTTTGGTTCTCATCTGCCACATCACCTGGAACCTAGGTCAGAAAAACCAATCAAAATGCCGTCCACCCGCCAAGAGTGTTCTTCCGAGCCTTCTGCCAGGCCCTAAGAGGGATCTTTGTCCTGCATCCAAAAACACGTGGATACAAGGAGTGACATTTGAGAATTTTGCCTTCAACTTGGCCCCCATCAACTGAATGACACACCTTAAGGGCTGTTTGGGTCAGCTGAACACTCAGGGCCCTTTGGAACATAAAATGGTTAATGGGTAGTAAAAAAAGTAGTCGGGGGGGAAAAACAGGATAAGGGGAAGGGAGCCATGTGAGTACTACTACTTGAAAGAAAATAGGGAAAGGTGTTCAGAAAGTGCCACATGCTGGGGAGATAAAAGACCAAAAATTCAGGAGGAGATCAAGCTGCTGTCTAGAGGAAGAACACCCAGAAAGGAGCAAAGCCAGGGGCGATGTCATAGAAACAATCTCAAGGTTGGAGTGGCCTGAGGCTGGAGACCAGCCTTTATTCAAAGTGGAAATGGCTATCCTTGGAGGATTATATTATTTAGCAGTGATCTTCAGTAAACCACTGAAGATTGCTCTATGCTGTGGCATTTTGTTATCCTAGCTAACATTCACTGGGCATTAGTGTGTCGGATCAGAGCAGACACGCTGATTCATCCCATCTAATCTTCCTAGGTACCATGCTATCTCTAATTTATAAATGGGGAAGCTGAGACTTGGCTAAGTCAGACACATATACTTTGTCCAAGAACTTTACATAGTTCCCTCACTTAGAGGCTCTTAAAGTGGCGCATTTAATGAAACCTTGTGTTGTTACTTGTTCAGGTTACTGCTCACTTCTTTTTGTTCAGGCAGAGATCCCAGCGCAAGAATGAAGTTCAAGTAGGGCTTTTCAGTTAAAACTTCATGGAAATATCCTCAAAGACACACCCAGAGACTTAATCAAGTCGGTAAGGAAAGTTAACCACATCCAAAGAGAAGCTTCATGCCTGTAGGATGTCTGTGTTGTGTGTGTGTGTGTTTGTGTGTAGTGCCACAGCACTTGTGTGGAGGTGGGTCTGAGGGTGGGGTGTCAGGGGATAGCTTTTCAGAAGTCCATTCTCCTCTTCGATCTTGTTCCCTGACACAGCACATGTGTGAGTTTCTGTCTGATTCTCCTGTCTCCACTTTGCAGCTCATTTTAAGAGTGCTGGAATTGCAGACATGAGCCACTGCAGCTGGCTTTTAAGGTTGGTTCTTGGGATTCAGTTCAGTGCCATGTTACCAAGCTCCCCTTTCCTCCTTTTTCTGTATCTCTTCCTATAACATGTGACTTGGGATACTGTTTAAGCACTCCTCTGCAACATAACTAGAATGGAAATGACATGAACAAATGCCTATTAACCTCAGAGAGAGCGTGGACGAAAGAAAAAAAAAATCCATCCAAGTCTAGTTTTTTTGGGATTTCTTACAGAAGCATGGATGAAGAGGTTTCCAGCACTCATTTGTCTCTGCCTCCCGACGGTGGGTGCAATGTGACTAGTGCCATGATACCACCACCATGCCTTCCCTACCATCATGGGCCAGCCTCTTGAAGTGTATCCCAAAACAAACTCTTCCCTCCATAAATTGCTTGTTAGCTATTTTGGTCTCATTAACAAGAAGTTATTGGTGGTTGAATGGGAAATGTTCCCTGTAGGCACATGTATCGGCACTCTTGGTAACCCAATCCAGGTTAGGAAGCAGATCCTTAGATTTGAAGGTTTAAAGCCTCATCCACTGTTTTCTATGTGCAGCAAAAACTATATCAGCCAGCTCTCTGCTCTGGCCAACTGCTGCCATGCATTCCACCACTGTGGACTCTGGAACCATAAGTTAAAATAAACTCTTGGACATTGGTATGGACATGATACATTATCACCTCATGGTTAGACCATGAGACCTGGAGTACTGCACACTCAACCTCTAAATGCCCCTACGATGGGCTGGATTATATCCACCAGCTCAAAAGGCCTGAATGTGGCTCACTTGGGAAAGTCTTTGCCAGTGTGACCAAGTTAAGATGAAGTCCTGAGGATGGTCCCTGGGCCTGTATGATGATATCTCTATAAGAAACACAGACAAGTGTCACTTGATGACAGAAGCAGAGGTAGGAGGGATGCCACTAGACATGGAGGAATGCCCAAGACTGCAGGCAACACTAGAAGAAAAAGGCATATGAGGGCCTCTCCTTCCTCTAGAGAAAAATTTTGCATTTGAGACACCCGATTCCTGCAGCCCTGGGTGGCCAGCGCACACGCTGTTCCCCAGGACCACAACCCCCTCAAGGACCACCATGCCTTCCAGCCCACTCCTTTCCCTGCACCTCCTTACAACTCCAAAACTGCTTCACTCAAGTGGATGCAAAGTTTAAGGTGTAGACCTTCTTAATGCCAAGGCCCTTTAATACAGTTAATTCCTCATGGTGTGATGACCCCAACCATAAAATTATTTTTGTTGCTACTTCATAACTATAATTTTGCTACTGTTGTGAATCATAATGTAAATCTTTTTGGAGATAAACGTTTGCCAAAAGGGTTGTGACCCACAAGTTGAGAACCACCTGTTGGGGGATTGGTCTGGTGCTGCTGTGTATTCAAATGCAAATGCTGACCCCCAAGATCTGGTTGCTGTATAGACAAGTACCTTTTTTTTTTTTTTTTTTTTAAGATTTATTTATTATTTATACAGTATTCTGTCTGCATGTGGGCTTACATGCCAGAAGAGGGCACCAGATCTTACTATAGATGGCTATGAGCCACCGTGTGGTCGCTGGGAATTGAACTTAGAACCTTTGGAAGAACAGCCAGTGCTCTTAACCTCTGAGCCATCTCTTGAGCCCTGACAAGTACCTTCTTATGTGCACCAAGTGATGTTGTATAAACTTTGCTCCCTTATTATCGCTGGTTGGCTAATAAAGGTTTTTTGGGCTGGAGAAATGGCTCAGCGGTTAAGAGCACTGGCTGCAGTTCCAGAGGTCCTGAGTTCAATTCCCAGCAACCACATGGTGGCTCATGACCTTCAGGAATGGATCTAATTCCCACTTCCGATGTGCATGAAGACAGAACACTCACATACATAAAATACATGAATTAATAAGTTTTCTTTAAAAAGGTTGGAGTCTGTAGCCAGGCAGAATAGAAATAGCTGGAGTTTCAGTTCCCTGGCTGAGGGTCTCAGGTAGGAACCACAAGACCAGGAGAAACAAGAGACACAGAGGAGAGAGAGAAGGAAAAAGATGGAGAGGACGTGGCCTGATACACAGAGGAGAGAGAGAAGGAAAAAGATAGAGAGGACGTGGCCTGATGGAGCAGATCCTGCCCAGACAAGAAGATTTATTGGCAAATAACTTGGGAAATACAACTGGGAAGTTGCCATACTAGCATAGAAAATTAGTTTGAATTGCACCTGCTCAATTATTGTTCTAATAAATCAGTAGGCCTCTGTTTCGATTGTTGGGGGAGGGAGGTTAGCTGAGTCATAGAATAGCCTCTTAGAATTAATAAATATTCCACAACTGCTGGCATAGACAAACCAAGAGTAATGATGTGACTGGATGAACAATGGTGTTCTATTTACTTCTCAGAAGAATTCTTTGAAGAAA